TGCATTTGTGTTACGACAACTAAATCCATATAAAGGACTTCAAATGCTCTTTTTATAGGCAACAGAACTGTAGCTGTCAAACAAAAGTTACATCAGTTTATTTCTGAGAGTTTTTTCGTGTTTTGTTGCTGTCGAGGAATATGATAACAAATTCCCACGTAGTTTTGAAGGCATTGTAATATAAAGATTCAGAAAGTTTGTACTTTAAATCTGAAACCTAATCGTGATGTTATTGAAACTCTGGAATTATTTGTGGGATTTCCTTTCGTTTTTTTTTTTCGAGAGTTATTTCTGCAGTTTAAGTATCCCACGACTTATGAAAATGTATGTTGATAAAAGTTTATACACATCTTTAGCATGAAAATGCCAGAATTAGTTTCATTATTCGCAATAATAAACATTTATGGCAACTCGACTTCATCCTTTTTACCAGAATGGTTCGACTAAGCTCATTTTGAGCATGGCAGGATTAAAGTACGAGCTCAAAAGTGAATGCTGGTCCAGAGATGAAATAAAAGTTGATAATGGACGCTGCCATTGCGCATGCGCACTAGAGATCTGGATTAAACTTGAATTCTGGATTAACTTTTATGGCACGTACAGAAGACGCCCTAAAGCACTGAAGAAGTTGGTTCATTCTACATACATTAAATGATCACCACAGAAGGCTTTCTCTGTTACTCTCAAGATCAAAGTAAGTCTGCTGAACAGATCTGCCCTCTTGTACGGAAGGCTTTCACACTGCGCCCGAGGTTTAAGCTATAAGGTTTGAAGTGCTTCACTTTGTTTAAGGCTTAAAAGGTTTTATCACTGTGCCTCGGCTCATATTTCTGTCTTCTCGTACTAGACCAAGATTGCCAGAGAACTCCCTTAACCACTTGATGGAAACGTATCACAAATTGAAATACAATGTCAGGTTACAGAGATTTGTATGTATATACGAAGTGATAATGCAGTGATTTAATGCAAATGTATGTGTAGATTACCCTCTTTTTGCAGAGACATAATCAAAACATAGACCATAACTTATATATATATAAGAATGATGTTCGTATCCTCACTGAGCCATGAATCTGTAACTACATGAGTTCTGATATCCCTATTTTGGATATGCTGCGATGTTACAAGTGATGAAGACCATCTAATAGGCAGGAAAATAAAGCTGTAAGCCAAGTATTTCTTACCCTATTAAAGTCTATTAACTTCACTTTGTCGTCGAGGACTTTTCCCACGCATTCTCGGACGGGAATGGACTGGTCGAAGTATATCCTGTTAGCCGAGTTGATGGTGTAGTTCTGGTTTGCTTCTTGGGAGTCATAGCTGCAGTCGTGTTATTTTAGTAGAAATTATTATCTGATAATGTATTACTTGCATTATAAAATCATGATCCTTTTTTATCATCAAGGTATTCGTGTCCATTTCTCTCTCTCTCTCTCTCTCTCTCTCTCTCTCTCTCTCTCTATATATATATATATATATATATATATATATATATATATATATACTATATACTTTTATATACATATACACGAAAATGAATAAACCAACAATATGAATTTAAAAAATCTTTTTGTTGTTCTTTATAATTTTTGTATACACGTTACTGTGTTAATGTTTTACACAAACACACAGAATCACACACACACACACACACACACACACACACACATATATATATATATATATATATATATATATATATATATATATATATATACCTACCACCTGTCTTAACGGTTCACTCGGTAGGTTTAATCGCGTCAACCCACTCACCGCCGTTCGAGGGCCCTGAACAGGGCGAGCGTGTCCTCCCTGTTGGTGAGCCGCAGAACCTGCTCCAGCTCCGCCTTCGTGTTGCCTCGGGAGCCGAAGTAGGCGAGGACGAGGGCGCTCCAGACGCTGAAGGGCGAGATGAAGAAGTTCCCCGTCGGAGGGAGAGCCTTCTTGAGTAAGTCGAGGCTGAAGGGGGTCGTCTTCTTGAGAATCTGGAGCCGCGGGGGCGGCGAGGTGTCGGAGGAGGAGAGGCACTGACAGCTGGCCCGTGACAGGAGGGCGAGGGCGGGGAGCAGCACGCACACTCTCATGGTTCTGAAAGGTCATGCACACACTGGTATTTGAATATAGAAACACACACACGCACATATATATATCTTAGTCAAAATATTATGTATTTCTAACTATAGACAAAAGCGAGCCAGATACATTAGCACTATTAAGATATCTGGTCTTATTATTTTGTCGCAATGAACACGGTTTAGAAATAAGCGACTCAGACACGGGTTGCAGTATACACAAAATATAGGGTGCACAGGAAACATATAACCGATATTGCATGTTCGCCTAACTAATAGATTGCAAATAGACCTTATGAGGTGGGAGGCAAAATGCTGAGAAGAACGGCGCAATATCTTTCAGTCACCTCAACACATCAGCAGTCAACAGTTACCATATGCGATTTGCAGTACCATAAATTCCTTACGAAATCTGAATATTCATATAAAACAGAAAACACCAACGATGGTCTGTGGTGAGACTAAAAGCTAGAGATTACTGAGTTAGCGAAGCTGTTCCTGTGAATATTTTACTACCCTCTACATCTGGTTTATTCATAATTCCATCAAGCACACAATAATGATACACTGAACTTACACAAACCGTAGTTTATTGTCTTTTATGCTCTATGTTTGGTGCCACGTCTCTCTGTGTAAGTGTATATTTGTTACAAAACTAAGATTTAATTAATACACTACAAATCTGAACTATAATGAAAAATCTTTATCTGAATTTGATCACAAAGAGATATATGTTTGGGGGTGATTTGATTCTCATGTTCAGAATTTTAACGTCATACAGATGAACGTCTTATCATACAGGGTGTCCTGTATTCACTGTTAATGAATGGTTAGTGATATGTTCATATGTTAACCACTTTCATTAAGTTATGAAATCATCTTGAAATTCTGTGTGCGAGACGTTTGTTAAAATTGTGCGAGGCCCGACCCAATGAATATTCATACATAAAGACATGCAAATAAAGGCTTATTTCTTTATCTATCTGATATATACATTTATTTATCTATCTATCCGGCAGATATGCATTTGTCTGTCTACATTCATATTCATAATAATTGGATCAGGCTTCGCACAGTATTAACAAACCGGCCGATGATATACATCAGCATACAAATCATACAAAACACCGGTACACAGTGCTCACCAAGAGAGTCTCGACACCAGCACCAACGCAGCGACCTAAAGTGACAGACGAGCGCGAGAAGTCCTCACGCAACGCACTTTCACCTACTACTGAGAGGCGGCTGGGACTCACGCTGATATACATCGCAGAGAGACCGCGAGAGCCGACATTTCATCTGTTGATTATGTTTAGATCTCTGCATTTATTTGTCTTGCCTATTCATAAATCCTTTGCTCAAAGAATCGGCTCCTAGGGTTAATTTAATCTTATTATTTTTTATTATCATTATTTTTTTATCATGATTATGACTGTAATTATATAAGGATAATGATAATGATTCCTATAACGATTATCATTAGCACCATTGCTATTACTACTATATTATCATTTTCATTACTACTGTCATTGTCATTATTATTACAGTCATTATTATTACTACAATTTTCATCATTTTATTATCATTATCATTATTACTATTGCTATCGTATTTATTATTTTATAACTATTGCTTTCATATTTATCATTATCATTATCACTATTGCTATCATATTGATCCTTATCACCATTACTATTATCACCACCGCCATCATCATCGTCATTATTATCATCCATTCATTTATCTTTCTTAGTATCCAAATGCACACAAACCCAAATGTAATTACAATAATACATAACAAGGCACAGAATACATTCTCTACAAACTATATTATTTAATCCGTATCTTACTCGTACAAGAGTTATTCCACTACATCATAAGAATAACGAATACTTATCTGTTTGAGCCTTTGGTTGGTCTCGAAAAAGAGTCGTAACTATTTATTTCTTACGTTTTTATAATTTAAAAAAAATATAAATAATCAGTAAAAATTATGATTATGTCTAAATCTCTGCATTTGTGTGGTCTTGCTTGTTCATATATCCTTAATTCAAATAATCGCCACTTTGTATTATCTTTATTTTACATAATTATTATTATTATAATTATTTCTATCATTATACTCATAATCATTATGATTATAATTATGATAATATTGATTACGATTAAGATTATCATTATTGTTATTACTATTATCATTATCATCATATCCTCATTAATATTGCTATTATCATTGTCATTATTATCAGTCTTTATTATCACTATTATCATAATCATCATTTTATTATCATTATCATAATTATTATCATTATTACTATTGCTTTCTTTCTTATCATTTTTACCATTATTATTATCATTATTATCATTATCAATAAAACTGTGATAATCATAATTACTGCCATCATTATTATTGCCATCCTTAATATTGTCACCGCCGCCACCACCACAGTCATCTTAACTATCATATTTATCGTCATCGACTCATTTAGATAATAAATAACAAACCAGAAAATAGATTTAACTGATTTAGTCTTTTACAAACTATGCTATTTAAATCAAACTCGAACAAGTAGAGTAATAACGAATAACGAATAATTGATTTGAGCCTTTGGTTGGTCTCGAAAAAGAGGCTTAATTTATTTCTTACAATTTTATAATCATGGTAATATAAATAATCAGTAAAAATCCTACCAGGGTCATGAAAATGTATGTATTATTCTTTTCGTGTTTGGACTACAATGGGAACAAGTCAGTCGTACAATGCATTGCAGAATAAACATATAACAAGTGCCAGCACATGCCCTTGATTTTGCAATAGCTGAGACTGAAGTGAAATCAAGGAACAGTTGATATTCTCAAAACAAAAATACAAATAGTGTTCCCTTCATTGTAATCAAAACAGGAAACGAATATTGCAAATTCGGGTCA